TGAAGCTGACCCACTGTGCAGGTTACAGTCCATTTTGCCTTCCACAAAGTGGTTGCTGCTCTCCTCTCTCAGACTATGAAACTCTTCCTCTGTCCAATCTAATCACTCTGCTGGGAGGAGTCTTCCAAGGTATGGGAAACTTTCCTCCTTTACAGGGCACAGGCCCTGTCCTCATTCCTTATTTTTCTTTTTCTCTCTGTCCTACCTGTTTACATGGTGCTTTTCTTGTCTTTGGGGGCATCATAGGTCTTCTGTCAACACTCAGGAGTTGTTCTGTATGAGTTGTTCCACTTGTGGAAGTATTTTCAATGTTTCAGTGAAGGGAGGTGATCTCTGCTTTTTACTCCTCCACCATCTTGATTCTGACACTCCCCAGATTCCAATATTGTTGTGATTGGTGTATTTGTGCGAGGGGGTGAGGTCTAGATTCTTCTACTCTGCCATTTTGCCTCCTCCCTAGAGACTGTCCTCTTAAAAAAAAAAAATCTAGCCTCAACTCTCCTCATTAAACAAAAGTAAGATATGTAATACAAGTCTAAAAATGGGCAGTGAAATAAGTATAGTTTTCAATTTACATTGAATATGGAAGAAAAATATGTATAAAATTTTGAAATGAATTCAAACATATTTTTAAAAGTTATCTTTTTAAAAATTAGTGTGTTTAGGGGAATGTCAGCTGATTTCTAAAGGAATTAATGCCAACATTGTACTGAATAAAATCATCCAGTATTGCTAGTTTATATAAGAATGGGTGCAGAGTAATTTTCCCTTTATTTCGTCCTGTGGTGGCAGGCATCAACCTTTGACTATGCCTAAACATGCTAAAATCTAACATCATCACATTGTGTTCCTGTGGTAATGTTTGCTTCTTCCGTGCTGGTGTAGTCTGTGAACTTCTGAGAGAGAGGACCACATCATTACCAACAGAACCATAGGCTAGTATCTGCTGAGAAGCCTCATCCACAAAGCTGGAAGTGGACTTGGCCAGCATCTAGGCAAGCCCGAGGACCAGAGTATGGGTTGAGACGTGTGGTAAGCTTGTGAGTCTAAATGCCAGCCTGCAGGGCCTCTCCTGATAGAGAGACGCTGGCCTGGGTTCATCCTGGGGTAGAGGACTCCCTCACTCTGCACGGCAGTGCCAAAAGTCAGGTTTATCATTCCCAAGCAGCATAGTAGAGGCTCTTTCTCTTAATAAACTAAATTGGTACAGAGAAAATAAATATACACAATGACATGTGGGGGACACACTCACACCTCAAACCACAAGCAGACTGATGACATCTTTCTGAGAAGCATGAATATGAATTCATCTTTAAATGTCCGTGTTAATCACTATTAAAGCCATGCAGTCCTGGACTTGGTTTACTGAGAGGTTTGCAAACACAGACTCCATGTCCTTATTAGTGACTGGTCTTCCTAAATGTGCTACTTCTTTGTGTTCAGTCTTGGCTTGTCAGATGTTTCTTGGAATTTGTCTATTTAGGCAGTCCAGTTTGTTGGGATGTACTTGTTCATGGTTGTCTCTTATAATGCTTTTCATTTCTTTAATGTCAGTTGTAATANGTATATCAAACTAAATGTTTGCCTATTTTGTGTTTTCAACAAACATTCTCTTAGTTCTATTGTTCTTTCTTATTTTTTTTCCCTCTACTAGTTTTTGGCTTGGTTTGTTCTTTTTCTGATATATAAAGTCAAGTGTTTATTTGTGATCTTTCTTATCTTTTAATATTGCATTTATTGACATGAACTGCCCTCTTATTACTGCTTTTCCTGAATCCCATCATTTTGGTATGCTGCATTTCCACTTTCATTTGTCTCAAGATATTTTCGTGAGTTATGTTCTGCTTATTCTCTGATCCTTTGGTTTTTCAATTTTCCACACATTTGTGAAATTTCTAGTTTTCTTCTTGTACTTGGTTTCTGCTTTCAGACTATTTTTGAAAACAAAATGCTTCATATGATTTCAGTTTTCTTAGATGTATTAAGGCTTGTTCTGTGACTTAATATATGATGTATCCTGAAAATGTTCCTTTTGCACTTAAGAAAAATATGTATTCTGCTTCTTTTGGATGGAATGTTCTGTAAATGTCTTTTAAGTCCACCTGGTTAAAAGGTATTGTGTAAGTCCAAAATTTCCTTATTGATTTTTGTCTGGATGATGTATCTGTTGATTAAAGCGAGGTAGTAAAGTCCCCTAGCATCGTTTTATGTTTGTCTATTTTTCTCTTCAGGTTTGTTAATATTTGCTTTTATATATACAGATACTTAAAATAGTACACCAATATTTACAAATTTATATCCTCTTGGTGGATTGTAACTATTTAGTGATCTTTTTTGCCTCTTATTTTGGTCCTTGACTAAAAGCTATTTTGTCTGATATGAAAGTGAAAGTGTTAGTCTCCCAGTTGTGTCTAACTCTTTGCAATCCCATGGACTGTAACCCACCAGGCTCCTCTGTGCACAGAATTCTTCAGGCAAGAATACTGGAGTGGATTGCCATTTCCTTCTCCAGGGGATCTTCCCAACACAGGCAGATATTTTACTCTTTTAGCCACCAGGGAAACCCTCATGTTTTTTCTGATATTAGTATAGCTACTCCAACTTTCTTCGGTTAAAATTTTTTTGGGATACTTTTTCCCTCCCTTGACTTTCACTTGTGTGTGTTCTCAAAGCTGAAGTGAGTTTCTTGTAACAACATGTAAGTAGGTTTCTGTTGGCCTCCATGGTCTCTGGAGGTAGTGGTAAGTACCTTTATGTATGTTAAATTAGAACCTGCACCGAAAAATAAAATTTTTTAAAAGTGTTTGTTTTATTTAAGCAAAAAGAATGCTTTCACAGAAAGATGGGCTTGTGTCAGTCTGATGCCTATGTGTTGGGCCTTAAGGGGTTAGATATGGTAGTCCAGTGAGCCCCGACACACTGTCTCTGAGCTGTTTGTAGCCGTTTGGATCCCGTGGGTGTAAGTCCCAGTGGTTTTCCAAGTTAGAGGTTTTGGTGGACCCATCTGTGTGACAGGAATCTTAAAAACTGGGGCACCAGCCATTAGGTCAAACTCTTCACCCCTCGGGGAGAAGCTGAGAGGTGTGAGCTCCCCCTTGGTCTGTGTTCTTCTGCTAGGAGAGGGCTTTGTGGCATGGCTATGTCATAGACTTGCCTAACCATTTCAGTATTTTTTTAAATTTATTGTTTTTAATTGGAAAATAATTACTTTACAATATTGTAATGCCTTCTGCCATACATGAGCATGAATCAGCCATAGGTTTACATATGTCCCCTCCCTCTTAAACCTCCCTCCCACCCCCTCCCCTGCCCACCCGTCTGGGTAATCACAGAGCAATGGCATTAGGTTTCCTGCATCACACAGCAAATTCTCACCATATATACCATATTTTACATATGGTAATGAATATGTTTAATGCTACCCTCTCGTCATCCACCCCTTCCTCTCCCACTGTGACCATGTCTGTTCTTTATATCTGTGTCTCCTTGGGTGAGCCTAGAGCCTGTTACACAGGGTGAGGTCAGTCAGTATTTTATTTTATCTTGCTTATTTTTCATTTGCCCAATGTGTAGCCGTTCAGCTAGTTTCTGGATTTCTTTCAGAAGGAAGTTTTCTGTGGGTAGCTGTAGATGCATTGTGCTCATAGGAAGAGATGATTTTGGGAGCCCGCTCTGACACTGTCTTTAACTGCCCCATTATAGGTAGTTTAAATATGCTGCTGCTGAGTCACTTCAGTTGTGTCCAACTCTGTGCGACCCCATTAGTAGATAATAGTTGTATATTTTAACCAAATCCTTACTCTGCTATTAAAGTTTGGTTTCTAAATCTACTACTGGAAAGGAACTGTCCACCAATAAAGATGGATTTACAAATGTATTCTATAACCAACAGTTTTCACTAAACCCCTTATATCTGGAAGGAAGACACTGTGGTTCATCAATCTACATAGGTTCTCTTTCTTCTGGCAGCAGTTGTGTAGTATCTCACTAGATCCTGAATTTATTCTTGCACATGGAAAGCACTGGAAACATGTAGAGTCAAAGGTATCATTTAGCGCAAGCAGGAGTGCTCTTCTAGGAGCCAGGCTGCTGGGCCCGCTGGCCAGCACTCTGTGCACTGCAGTGTCCCCTCATCCGAGCTGGTAATTCACGGTCCATGGAACAGAGCCCGTGGAACACAGGTCTTCTAGGGTTCATCTGAACTCCCAAGGGAAACTGAACAGGAATACAATTATCTAAAACATCCACATCCAAATTCAAAAAGTTCCATCTATTTGGAGATGTAGTAAGGTAACTTAGTATGGCTTCCCTGGTGGCTATGTGGTAAAGAATCTGCCCACAGTGCAGGAGACATAGGGTCGATCCCTGGGTCAGGAAGATCCCCTGGAGAAGGAAATGGCAACCCACTCCAGCACTCTTGCCTGGTAAGCCCATGGACAGAGGAGCCTGGAAGGCTACAGTCCACGGGGCTGCAAAACAGTCAGACACGACTTAGTGACTAAACAACCACTGTTCGTATGTGATAATAAGTTAACATGAACTACTGCCAGTAGCTCTGTGCCAACGTCAAGGTTGTCATAAACTGGGGAGAAAATAGGTGAAGTTATAGAAGTCAGGTGAAGTCGTGTCTGACTCTTTGTGACCCCATAGACTGTGGCCCACCAGGCCCCTCTGTCCATGGGGATTCTCCAGGCGAGAATACTAGAACAGGTTTCCATGCCCTCCTCCGGGGGCTCTTTCCAACCCAAGGATAGAAGCCAGGGCTCCTGCATTGCAAGTGGATTCTTGACTGGCTGAGCCAACGGGGAAGCACAGATAAAGTGACAGATTCCCCGAAAATATGTCTAGAGAGGGGAGGGAACAAAAGTATGTTTTGGTTGTTTTCCTTCTAAGTTAGAGTCTTTATCATGACAGATGTCCAGATGAATAGTATTTTGCCAGTTGACTCCCACTAATTTCAAGAAACGAGTTGCTGTATCCAATTCATTACAACAAAGAGAGACTTTTGTAAATAACCAGTTTAATGGCCCAACATCACTAAAAGTGTTGTATTTGTGGTTGATGACATGCCTTAATCTGCATAAATATCTCCTCTTTCTAGAAATATAATCAATACAAGGAATACATACCTTCTGTAAGTTCAATTTGCTGATGAATCAGGATTTGATTTACCTATTATAGTAAACAAAAATTTAAGCTGTAAGCATATGTCATATGATTTTTAAGCCAACCAAATTATGTTTTTATATTTTTTAAAATGCATATAATTATCAATATTTGTCAATACTGTCAATATATAATGATAGTTTACATACTTGTTAGTGTAAAACTAAAACGTAATATAAATTATATACATATATATTTATAAGTGACAAGATACCTATTGAATGTGTTCAGTACTAATGTGGGCAGATTCAAGTGAAATAAAATGACTTAAACTAAAAAAAAGGGGGCTTCCCTCATAGCTTAGTCGGTAAAGAATCTGCCTGCAATGCAGGAGATCTAGGTTCGATTCCTGGGTTGGGAAGATCCCCTGGAGAAGGAAATGGCAATCCACTCCAGTATTCTTAACTGGAAAATTCCATGGACAGAGGAGCCTGGCTGGCTACAGTCCATGGGGTCACAAGAGTTGAACAGAATTTAGTTACTAAACCACCACACACACACACAAAAAAAAAAAACTTAAAAATGATAACACTGATCTTTCTAGAAGAGCTTTAGGAAATATTAAGACCATTTTATCCATATAAAGAGATTTTTTTTTACTATAAATCTCAATTTTCTTTTTTAGTGTAAATGAGATCATCATTTCTAGTAGGTGATAACTTCTACATATTTTGTGAGTCCTTGATTTTAAAAAATCTATTTCTTGGAGAATATATGAACTAATAAAATTCTTGTATTATGCTCAAATACATTTTGGTATATAAAATTAGTTCAGAGAGTGTAAGAGACACAACTCATTTTTTGAAAAATGTTTGAATGACACAGGAATATTTACTTTTATATAGTTTGGGCACACAGAACTTCCTTTTCTACTTTACCTGTGAGATTTCTAACATCAAACAAATGTAAAACCTTATTTTGCTGAGATAAGTTATCAAACATTATAATCTATTACTTTTCCCCACTTTATGGTTGCATTTATAAACTTGGCTCTTCAAAAGAATAATAACAACATAAAATGTAATTTTATTAATTACAATAAAAAGGTAAGTCATACAAAAATTGTTGAATTGAACACTAAAGTTTGTTTTATACTTGTTTTTAACTGCTAAGAAATTATTTAGTGTTGGGATTAAAGGGCATAGAATCCAAAACCAAGGTTCCAGCCGTATAAAGCCATTTCTACTTCCTGTGCATTTTGATGCTGAGCAAATTGTTTAACTTTCTCTAGGCCTCAGTTTCTTCTTTGAGAAAATGGTGACAATTCTAGCACCTGTATTTCATAGGCTTCCCAGGTTATTCAAGTGGTAAAGAATCCACCTGCCAAAACAGGAGACCCAGGAGATATGGGTTTGATCCCTGGGCTGGGAAGATCCCCTGGAAGAGGAAATGGCAACCCACTATCATAGAGCTTCTAACAGATTAAATGTGTTATTATATGTAGTACATTTAGGAACAAAGCCTGGGAAATAGTGTTTAGTAAAGGTTTGCTGTTGACTCTTAATTACAAATTATATTCAAGATCATAGAAAAATACAATTTCCTAAGACATTGGTATTTCGCTTTATTAGTAAACCTTGCTTAGAAGAATTAGTTTGTTAGCAAGAAATGTTGTTTTACCATTTCAGACTTTTGTGAATTAGTTATTTGCTAATGTCATTAAGTAAACTGGGAGCACAATTTTACTTGTTAAGAGTCTTTTATGTATTTGAAATTACCTGACTTAAATATTGTAACCCTGGTGGACAGTCTGGTGAAGGTACTAGTTTTATAATATATAGTGGCTTTGCAGGTATATTTGGCTGAAGAGACACTTGCTGGTATTGGACCGGAATGTCAACTAGGCCACATCCTGTTTTTCCAGCTTGGACGACTAGATAGCCAATCTGTGTTTCAGGGTATGCAGGCTGAGGACTGGGATATTCAGCTTGGGTTTCAGGATTGCTATCCTGGACATGATTTTCAGCATGGGTTTCACTGTTGCCAGCCTGCAGGGTGGGACAGCCAGAATGTTCTGGAGATGCTGAAATATGAACAAGTGTAATTATTTGTAACTACATAGAAAAGTTAAGATTTCAATTCTTTTATCTACAAACTAAAAATTTCTACTCAGAAATCCTGTTTCTATGAAGCTTACGGTTTGTGTTTTTATAGTTCAACAATTTTTCAGTAAAATATCTGTTGTTTCATATCCATTTCTATTTGTGGGTTTTGGCCTGTATATAGAGTTGTTCCACATCCTTACACTTACTCTTCAGAATTAATATGAAAATATGGTTGAAACCTAAGGAAGTGAAAACAGATCAACAACGTAACATACATATTCTGGAATGCCTTCATGGAAATGAGATGTGGCATTGGGTAGAAGGCCCAAAATAGAGGTGTTAAGCCAGAATTTCTAGAACCAAATCACTCTACAAAAAATGACAATTCTGGAATTCTGACAAATGGAAGTTCTTATATATATAGAACTGGCAGTGGTTTTGCCCCTCCAAGGAATACTTGTCAAGGTCTAGAGATGTTTTTATTGCTTCAGCTGCAGAAGAGAGTGATCCTGGGATACAGTTGATAGAGGCCAGGAATGCTGTTAAATATCCTAAAGTGGTCAGAGCAGCATGCTGAAATAAAGAATTATCCATTCCCAAACATTATAATGTTCTTACTGAGAATCTGGTATACAGGTGAAGGCATATCATTCCATCCAGTATACTGTCCAAATACTTCCCTGGGTTAACCATTTGCCTGGGGCTTTAATCCATGGTTTATCCCTTTCTTAAAACCCTTTCATCAAAAAAAAAAAAAAAAAAGTTGACTGATCCTGAACTTACAAATTAAATTTTAAAATTTCATACCTTAGCTCTCTGGAAAATATGATTTGAGAACAAAAGGAGGTAAAAAGTATCAGAGGCAAAATTATCTTAAATATTTAATAAACACAGTATGGGAAGAATTTAGTAAGCATTTATTCTTATAATCCATGAAAATTTGTAAGCAGTGAAACTTTATAAGCTTATATGTACATAGAAAAGCAATTCCATAAAAATGTAATATAATTTGAAAAGACTGTGTCCCAAAATATTTTAATTACAAAGGCTACGCAAAGCTTAATACTAAGAATAGGCCATTTATAAATATGTTTCAGTGGAACACTGATGACGAAACATTGTAAAGAGTAAGACTTAAAGACTTCTTCAGTGGGAAACCAATGGTAGAGGAAAAGGACACGCAGCTTACTTCCCGACACAAACGTGTTAACACAGGGATGCGTGGAAGAGTTCTCACGGGGAACTAACTGGGAGCTGGCAGAACAACTCCTGCAGCCAAGGGTGTATCAGAGATACACATGCAATCGGGCATAATGTGCAGACAAGTGGTCGTGTCAGTGCCTGTGCCCCTGGGACGGGACTCAGAGAAAAAGAGATCACATGGGCGGATACTTGCCCTGGTGAGTGAGCAGGTTGAACAATAGACTGGGTGTCCTAGTCCTGGGGTCCTGTGTGGGGGAGGCATGCCTCTGTGGCTGCTTGGAAAAGTGCTTTCTATCTAAAAAGGGTAGAGAATCTCAGACTCCATCCATGAGGGGTGTTAGGTCACCCCCAGGAAAGGTGAAAAGGGGTCTGCCCTAGTGATTGCCACCTCACCACACTCTCCAAGCAAGTGAATACCAACCACAGCCCTACTCAAACCACACTGTACCATACCACAGCTCTGCTTTAGCTCTAGGGTGGCCAGGACCAGGCTGAATGCTTGACCTAGGGACAGAGACTGCCTGGGTGCCCAGTGCATAGCTCAGGTGGGATGTTAGTGGCCATTGTGGGTGCTTACTCAAGTGGTGCCCCGGAAGCAGCCCAGACTTCTGAAGGCAGCTGGAATTCCAATGACCTTTATGTTGTGTGTCTCAGCCTCAGCTGAGGAGACAGTGCAGCCCAGCCCACTCCATGTGACGGTGCAGCTCTAGATCTGAGCGGGGGAAGGGCACAGCCAGGGGAAAACCACTACTGGCCGTATCTGAGCAGAGCCACAGGGGCCTAAATAAGCAGAGCACTGGGCCTCCGTAAGCACTGAGTTCCACTTGCTTCACCCATCCCCACCTTTAGGGCAAAGAGCCGCGTGTGAGGAAAAGAAAAAACACACACTTAAAGAGAACAGAGCCAGCTGGAAGCTCGACCTGCAGGACTTCTGCTCCGGCAGCACGAGAGCAAACCCCACTGCTGCAAAGGGTGGTGACGGTCCTGAGCAGAGAGGAGGCTCTGCCTCAGCCTGCTCCAGCTCTAGCTCCTCCATCCCCGGTCACACCCGCTACCAAGGTGACAGGTGCCAGTACACACTGCGGAAGCGTGATCGATGTTCATCACATCCAGCCCTCACATCGGTAGAGGGATGCTTTTATAAAAGAACACCCTTTCAAGACGACAGCAGGTAATTGTTTCACCTAAATTAATAAAGGCAGAGAAAGTTAAGAAACCTGAAAAGGCAGAGTAACTATTCTCAATTGAAAGAGCAGGAGATACCTCTGAAAAATAAATAAAATAGAAGTACATAATTTACCAGATAAAAATCCAGAACGTTGGTAATAAAATGTTGATTAAGTTAAGGGACAGAATTGATCTAAATACAGATCATCTTAACTAGGATTTAGAAAGTATAAAAAAAAACCCAATCAATACTAAACAATCCAGTATATGAAATAAAAAAAAAACAAGCACCCTAGATTCAATAAGTAGCAGACTAAATGAAACAGAAGAATGCATACATAATCTGGAAGACAGAATAACAGACAGAAAGAAAAAAAAATGAAAGCAACATACAAAATGGCTGGGGTAACATTAAATGTGCCAACATTTGCATTACAGGGGTTGCAGAAGGAGAAGAGAGAAACAGGTGCAAAAATGTATTTGAAGAAATTATAGCTGAAACTTCCCAAATCTAAAGAGGGAAACAGATATCCAGGTATAGGAAGCAAAGAGGGTCCCTAACAAGATGACCCACACAAAGACATATCAAATTAAAATGTCAAAAATTAAATATAAAAAAGGCATTCTAAAGACAGCAAGAGAAAAACAAAGAGTTATATACAAGGAAATCACCATTATATTAGCGACACTATAAAAAAAGAAAATTACAGGTCAATAAATTTTCAATACAAAGGCAATATCCTGAACAAAATATTACCAAACCACAATATATGAATAGGATCTTGCCCCATGATCAGTCAGTCAGTCAGTTCAGTCGCTCAGTCATGTCCAACTCTTTGCGACCCCAGAGACTGCAGCATGCCATGCCAGACTTCCCTGTCTATCACCAACTCCTGGAGCTTGCTCAAACTCATGTCCATCGAGTTGGTGATGCCATCCAACCATCTCACCCTCTATCGTCCCCTTCTCCTTCTGCCTTCAATCTTTCTCAGCATCTGGGTCTTTTCAAATGAGTCAGTTCTTTGCATCAGGTGGCCAAAGTATTGGAGTTTCACCTTCAACATCAGTCCTTCTAATGAATATTGAGGACTGATTTCCTTTAGGATTGACTGCTTGGACATCCTTGCAGTCCAAGGGACTCTTAAGAGTCTTCTCCAACAAACACCACAGTTCAAAAGCATGAATTTTCCTGTGCTCAGCTTTCTTTATAGCCCAACTCTCACATTCATACACAACTACTGGAAAAACCATAGCTTTGACTGTATGGACCTTTGTTGGCAAAGTGATGTCTCTGTTTTTTAATACACTGTCTTGGTTTGTCATAACTTTCCTTCCAAGGAGTAAGTGTTTTTTAATTTCCTGGCTATAGTCACAATCACAGTGATTTTGGAGCCCAAGAAAATGAAATTTGTCACTGTTTCATTTTTTCCCCTTCTATTTGCCATGAAGTGATGGGACTGTGTGCCATGATTTTAATTTTTTTTGAATGTTGAGTTTTCAGCCAGCTTTTTCACTCTCCTCTCCTCCACTAGAATTTCTTAACTTTCTCTAAAATATCTTTTTATTTTGTGAAGGGAAAATAGGTGGTATTGGATATTTGTCTACATCTTCTCTATAGTACAGATACTAAACTACACATTGAATTCTGAAAGATAACACAAAACAAATTGTATCATTTCCAGAACTTAATAAACCTTTATGACAGATAACCTCTTAACAACAAAATTAATATTATAGCGTGGGACATAAACAAAGCAAATGACTTACTTTGGCTGTCCATGATCTAAAGAGATCTGAAAAAGAAGACCTTGTATTAATACATTGTCTACAAATTTGAAAGTCAAATGTGACTGTTGAAACAAAACACTCTGTACCTATATAGTCATACACTTGGAATTTTCCCCTTTATTCATCTAGTCTAGCTATATCTGGCCATTTAAACCCTTTGGGCTTGATCCCTTCCTCACTGCTGTGTTTTTGGGTAGAACTTTAGAAGTGGTTGGTCAGCCCAGGATGGTGGATAGTTTCTAAAATCCTGAGTGTCCAATGAGGCAGAAAGCTAGGAAGTAAAGCTATGAGCTTAAGAGCCCTCATGATAACAAAGTTAAAAATCAGAGTCTTCACAATGTACACAGCCTGAGGGGGAGCATGGGATCCAGCATCCAGCCTCAGGGCTCAGCTCCAGGAATGAGAAGAAGAAAAGTTAGCTATCAGGTCAACAACAATCAAGTCACACAACTGCAGATACCTCTGGAAATTCCAGATCCTGAAGACCTGTCCCGCCCAGCTTGAACAGCAAATTTGAGACGACTTTGACCCCATGTTATATATCAGTACATACTTTTCCAAAAACATACGTCAAGGGTTTATACAAGCTGTAACTCTGTGATAATCCAACTGAAACTTGGAAACAACAAACTTCCTTTTTCTAGTGCCTTGATCACAGTCTAGTTTTTCTTTTTTTTTTCTGGTACAATCCAGTCACTATTTCTGCTATCTCTCCACTTTAAATCCCAACTCCTATATGCCTATATGTTAATTGTAAATTACATGAACTGTAAATTACAAAAACTCTGCTATCTGACTGGTTTATTTTGAACTAGCCTGAATATGATTCAGTCCTTCCCCTTCCCAAACTTTCTCCAGTCTTTCCTGCCCTTTACTAAAGCTTCCTACTGTATCATTGTAAATGTTAAATAAAATCAAGTAATTTCTCCAATAAGTGTCTGATATCCAAATTATATAAAGAAATCATGTAACCCAATATTAAAGAAAAACAATCTGATTAAATAATGAGCAGAGGACCTGGAAAATATTTCTCCAAAGAAGACATGCAAATGGCCAATAGACACATGAAAAGGTACTCAATATCATTAAACATCAAGGAAATGCAAATCAAACCCACAAAATATCTCACCTTTTTAGAATGGCTATTATCAATCAACAAGACAAGAGATAACAAGTGATAGTGAGGATGTGAAGAAAAGGGAATCTTCATACACTGTTGGTGGAAATATAAATTAGTGTCGTCACTGTTGAAAACAGTATGGAGGTTCCTCAAAAATAAAAATAAAAGATAGAACTACCATAGGATCTAGCAATTCCAGTTCAAGATACTTACCTAAAGTTAACAAAAACACAAATTCATAAAAGATATATACACTACTATATTCACCACAGCATTATTTACAATAACCAAGATATGGAAGCAACCTAAATGTTCATCAATAGATGAAGATGTATATATACACCCTACCACCATCATCATTTAAAATGGTGCCTTGATCTCTTTCTTATAGAATCATCATTTTTAAGTAGAGCACTTAGAGTAATTATAATATGATACTTAATTTTGTGATACACACACACACACACACACACACACACATGAGGAGTATTACTTAGCCATAAAAATGAAATCTTGCCATTTGTGACAAAACAACATGGATCCACCTAAAGGTTTTTATGCTAAGTAAAATAAGTCAGAGAAAGACAAATACCCTGTGATCTAACTTATATGTTTATTTGTTGAATCTTTAAAAAAAGTAAATGAACAAATAAACAAAATAGAAAAAGACTTTCAGACACAGAGGACAATCTGCTGGTTGCCAGAGGGTATGGAACATGAAACTGGCGAAACGGATGAAGGGAACTGAGAAGTATAAACGTCCAGGTGTGAAACACAGACGTAGATGAGGTATTCAGCATAAAGAATACAGCCAATAATACAGTAGTAATTTTGTATAGTTATATTGGTTACTAGACTTCTTATAGTGACCATTTGTAATGTATTTGACTGTCAATTTCACTATGCTATACACTAGAAACTAGCATAATATTATTTGTCAAGTATATTTCAATTAAAAGGCAGTCAATTAATCCCTAATTTCCTTAACTAAAATTTGGTGTTTCCAAGATGATCGTCCTCTGCATTTAAAAATCATAAGCATGCAATGCTCCATACCAAGCAGTAGAGCAAAAATGGAGAAATGGACAATTAGACAAAGTTAAGTACCTTATTATAATTGCTCTAAGTGCTTTAATTACAAATGATGGTCTATAAGAAAGAGAGATTGAGGCACTGTTTTAGATGATGATGGTGGTAGGGTTTTCATAAAAGTCTGATCTGAAAGCCGAAGGAAGTCTAAATTCAACCAGTCCAAGGAGGTATTGGCCAGGGGGGGGTGGTGGATGGGATGAGATGAGGTGAGGCATTAGAGGCAGGGGGCCCGTATCAGTGCAGTCTTGAGGCCTGAGAGAGGGGGCTTGGCTCATTCAAGGGGATGAAGATCTTCCCCTGTGGGTCACAGAGCAAAGAAGAGATCACTGGACGAGAGGATGGAGAGATGGACAGGGAAGCTCTTACAGGTATCCTGCCTCTAAGTTCTCTAAGAACAAGACACTTAACTGGTGCCTATTGAGTCAACAGTGCATACATTATTATTTCAGCCTTTCAGAAAGAAAAGCTTCTTTACCAATGTGAAGGCTGCTAATCTGTAACTCAACTGTTTTATGTGCCGCTTCTATCCAGTTGGAAAAGTCCGCTCATTTCCTGTTTATTTTTCATTTCCTTGTGTTTGTTCAGTAGTCAAAGCCCTATAATCGTCATGCTTTCCAGGATGGTATTAACAGAAAGTTATGTTGTCAGGAAAGTTCCAGGAAGAACAAGGGGACAGACCCTGAATCTCCTGACACTTCACTTA